CAATGGAATCCAGTTTCCTTGGACTCTCTCAAGTTCTGTGCACGACTTTATAATTGCAGTGATGATGTTATTTTAAATGTATTATTTATTTGTAAACTTATTAAATGGTTTTCTTTCTATATAAAAATCAAAGGGTAATCATATATATACACGCAAACAGATGCACAGATGAGCTTGATTTAAATAGGAATAAGGCAAACCACAGTTCATTCTATTGCAGCTAGAATGGGCACTAAATCCTTTATATTATCACTATTCATGTAATAGTTCACAAAAAATCTGGAGATCTTCAGACTGATGAAAGCAATATATGCTTCCATGATCACACTTAACTGCACTGAGGCACATTATAAACAGTAACAGCATCTTCTGTATGAGCCCAGATAGGGAAAAAACACAAAGATATCAACTAGAGAATTTGTGTGCTCTAAATGGTTGAAGGGGAAATTCATGGCCACAGAAGCAGCATGCTGCTGTATAACAAAGGAAGCACTGTCTGCTCATCCGTTTCCTTCCCCAGTAAAGCAAACAAGCTAACAAAAAAAAAACAAACCTGCTGCACTTCACAGATTATGATCCCAAGAACTACTTGGCAGAAAGAAGGCACCCAGCAGTCGTGGCTACAAGAAGACAGTCTCTGTCTTGCACTGAGGAGAACAACCGGAGTTGTCCTGTGATAAAGTCAGTTGTCTCCCTGTATTGAGAAAGAACTTTTAAGACTGCTTAGAAAAAAAAAAATCCCTTTTTGGATACACAAACAAAACCAGAACAGGAGTGCCAGTGGAACAGATTACGTCAAAGTAAACTCAACGTTGCGTTTATACAGTTTATCACAAAGCCCCGCATGAATGAAGCTTCAAACACACAAACGCTGAAGCAATCCGAAAAACAAAGACAGAAACTGCCTTCTGCAACAGATGAAGCAGGATGAAAAGGATGAAGCAGGAAGGTTGTGCTGCACACAGGCACATGTGCTCAGGACACAGCCCTCGGCCACAGTGCCTCGCTGCTCGGCCTCCCCTCCGCCTCTCGGCCTGCTCACAGTATAGCTGGCCGAAGTGATAACGCTGAGCCAGACTTTCCAGCTCACTCCCTGCCTTTCGCTTGGCTACACTTGAAAGGAAGGCTTTGGAAGAAAAACTTTGCAGGCTACCCTGAGATTTACAGCTGCCATTTACCCCGGAGCTCTTTGAGAAAGCAACCAAAGTACAGATGAAAACATTTTAGGAAATTAAAAGTTAAAGCTCAGAAAGACACCATGCAAAACAGGTTCCTTAGAATTTTGCCCTTAGTCATCTTTGTGGAATTAAAAATGCTTACATATAAACAGTTTAAATTTAGTTTTAGCTAAGACACAGATACACACAGTTTTTCACTTGCGAGATTCCTTTACAGAAGAAATATGGTGACATCAAAACAAACAGCTCAACAAGAATATCAAGTAGTGCATATTTATTTATTTGTATGAAGCTAGGATTTCTTAAGCTTCCTCGTATTTCTTCCCATCCAGATACTTTGCCTTAGAAACCTACAGAATTTTCTTGCAATTCCCTTTGGATTTACACTTCTCTTCAGTCACCTTATTTCTAAGTTTGCTTTTACCTTTTGAACAGACAGTATGCAACTGTATGTATTTTTCATGAGCTTAAGCCAAGAGAAACTTATGCCACAGAAACACGAGATCCGATTTCCTTTCAAAAAGAAGTTTCTGTGGCAGAAGCCCAAATGTAAATATGCTTACACTGGCATAAAACAGAGTTCATTGTGTAACTTCTTTCACGTGGAGAACCAGCATAAGCTGAAGGAGCACAAGAATGACCTCCTGCTCCTGCCCCACGAGAAGTGCGTTCCACAGGCAGTTCTCCTCACCAGCCTCTGCTGCAGCACTGCCACTCATCCATTTCCATGATGGATTCCTCCTGCTGCCAGGCTGCAGTTTGGCCTGGGAGTTCCTCTGAACCAGGTGAACTTACCCACAATATCTACAGTTTTTATGCCCAGCTTCCCTATGTAACTGCTGCCTTTCCATTGCAACACTCATTTTGGTCCATATTATATGAGGATCTTTAATTATCAACAGTTATTTGTGATTTTATTACAGGTAAAGGCAGAAACATTTTCTTCCTCTATCTTTTTACTTGCTTTTCCATTGAGTTCCTAAACCAAACTAAGTCACATTAATATCCAACACAAGATGAGAAATCGATTACTGAGAATCTCCAATTACACAGCAATAGAAAGTACAGTAATTTTAGTGTTATAGAGGTACTTTTCTTGGTGTGACTTTTTTTTTTGCCTTGAGAACCAGTATTGTAAGACATACTCAGTCTTACATGTATCGTCAATAAAAATAAGAAAGGTGTTAACATGCTACAGTAAACATACAGTCAGCTTGTTCTGAAGGCAGATTTGGGTCAAGCAAATTCTGTGCATGTACATTCTCCAGCAGATATAGGTATACCCAAGATTTCATCTTCTGACTCCTACTGAAAGAAAATACTTTTCAGTGAGAGTATTGTGCCTTTTAATTTTCTAGTTCCTTCTTTATCTTGCCTGAGATCTTTCAATTTTCCTTTCCTGCCTTGTTTACGAAGCTGCTCAGTCCTAACCACAAAATCATCCAATCTGAACAGCCGGATTTACAGAAAAAACAAACCTAGAGGTTTAACATTTTCAACTAAATCTCCCCATTTCTTTTTGAGTTCTAGAACACAAAACGTTTCCACTGTCCAAGAAGAATCTTAAAAGCTCATTTATTTTGTTTTCCTTATTCAAGGAATGACACAAACCAGGTCAGATTTGTTCAAAGAAAGGCCTCAGTGAAGCACTATTAACCTGCATCCAACACTAAATTAATAGTGAAATAAATTTTACCAGAACTTTTTTGGAAGACTGCAGAGGTTCTGAGTGCAAATGAAATGTCTTCTAGTTAGAGAGCTTCTGCACTAACTGCAGTATAAATGATAAAAACATGAGACACTTCTATGTCAGGAGGTTCTACCAGGCTGTCAGTACGCTGCAGTATCCATAAAAACAAATCTTTGGTATTCACATGATGTGAATTACTATTGGTGAACGTCATGAAAAAGTATCTGACAGCTCACTTTTTTTTTCTAATGACAGTTCACTAGATTAGAGAAGTAAGCAATGCTAGTGTTGGGAACTACATTCATTTCTACTAGTTTATGAGATAGCTGTACTAGTTCTCACTCTTCTCAATATAGTTATAAAATAACCACACATTTGATTTTAAAAAGTACGAAGATTTACAATTGTTTTGAAATGCCATATCTAAAGACGGTTAGTCACAACTTAGTACAGTTCTTTATTTTAGTAAAAGTAGCTTTTTTAAACAAATAGCTAGCCAAGTTACCCCTGAAATCCACCACTTTTGTGCAAATTAGCAGTGCCCTACATCACAATTCTGAAGCAAACTTACTTTAGAAAAGAAATAGGATGCAGGATAAGAAGTACAATCACATCAACATAGTTCTTATATTTTTGGAGAAGCTGAACAAATCAAACTGGAAAAATATTAGATTAA